CAGCTCCTGGAGTCCGGGTTCGACCCAAACACCAGGGACTGCCGCGGACGGACCGGACTGCATCTGGCTGCCGCTCGGGGAAACGTGGAGATCTGCTCTTTGCTGCATAAGTTTGGTGCCGATCTGTTGGCCACTGACTCACAGGGCAACACGGCACTGCACATGTGTGGCCATGTAGACACCATCCAGTTCCTGGTGTCCAACGGCCTTAAGATCGACATCTGGTCAGTGTTACCGTGGTACAGTGACTGTATATAATGATACTGAATTACCGTAGTCCTATACTGGCATTCACATGCTATTCCAAGGTACCTTAGCAGTCAAAAATGTCATGACACTTGCATATATTTTATTTAGAAAAATCAAAACTAGGAAATAACAGATGGAAGTATTGCAGGAGTTTTCAAACTTTTCGAAGGCACAGACCTCCAAATATAATGATCACATAAAATAATATAATATAAAGGTAGATAAATATTTTAAAAACATACAGTACACTACCGTTTTTTAAAGAAATTAATACTTGTATTCAGCAACACATCAAATTGGTCAAAAGGGACTATAAGGCATTTATAATCTTACAAAAGATTTCATATAAATGCTGTTCTTTTGAACACAACTGTTTTCAACATTGATAATAATCGGAGATGTTTCTCGAGCAGCAAATTAGCATATTATACTGATTTCTGAAGATCATGTGACACTGATGACTGGAGCAATGATGCTGAAAATACAGCTGCGCATCACAGGAATAAATTATATTTTACAGTATATTCATGTAGAAAACAGTTATTTTGAATTGTAATATATTTTAAAATATTTACTATATTTTTGATCAAATGCAGTCTCGGTGAACAAGCGTTTTTTAACATAAAAAAAAAATGTGAACAGTAGTGTAAATGTGAAAAAGAATAAATGTGTACAGTGTTATCTGGGAACTACTTTCTGTTCAGTTGATCTCAGGATTTCTGGCCGGTCTTTAAGCATAATATTACATTCTGATAATGATGAACTTTTATTATTCTATTAATTATTTTCCCACTTCACTCTCTTTTTTTCTGCTGACCCCTTAGCTCCTCCTTGTGGTCTCCTGAGGGCCCCGGACCCCAGTTTGAAAACCCCTGACTAACAGTTCACATATTACAGGGCCAGTTCCATGAAATGTGGTGTCTCGCTCGATGAGGATTCATGAAGTTGCCACAAAAAGTCTGACCGCTTTATGTCCATGCTTTTTGATCTGAACAGTAATCACAACGGAGCCACTCCGCTAGTGCTGGCCAAGAGACGCGGTGTGAATAAGGACGCGCTCCATCTGCTGGAGGGGCTGGAGGAACAGGAGGTGAAGTGCTTCAACCGCAGCTCCCATACCAGTCTGGAGAAGATGCACATGGCTGAGAATGAAAGGTGAGATGATTGCCATTACCTGTTTTTATAATCCCAACTTTCGAACGTCTGAATCGTTCTTCATAAGTGTTCTCACTCATTATGGGCTGCTGTATCTCGTGCAGTGCCATGGAGAGCCACTCTCTTCTCAACCCACACCTGCATCACAGCGATGGCGTGTTGTCCAGCTTCCGCACTACATGGCAGGAGTTTGTGGAAGATCTTGGCTTCTGGCGAGTGCTCTTGCTGCTCCTCGTCATTGCTCTGCTCTCACTCGGCATTGCGTATTATGTCAGCGGAGTCTTACCTTTCGCGTCTAATCAGGTGGAACTTGTGCACTAATATGAAAGCTCATTAAAATGATTTTTTTAAATCTTGCATTAGCCGATGATTGTTCCTACAGTAACCACGCTTTAAATTGTAATCATACATTATGTGACTGAATTCTAAAATATTTTTGTGTATATGTAAATAGACCTTTCATGTGCTATAAACAGTTTTTCATTATGCTTGTGTTAGGAAGAATCTTTTTATTGCCTATTCTGCACCCGTTCATGCTATCGTTTCTGTTTCCAGCCCACATCACCACCTTTTTATTTTATTTAAATTATTGGATTTACACATTAATGTTTTGTGATTGCAAAAAGTGTTTATCATGCACATGCTTTAACAGTGGTGTATGTGAAATGGGTTCAAGGTCATTTCTACAGTTTGGTGGATTTTATGTCCCCGTGAAACACTACGGCAGATTTTATGTCAATATTAACCAACTTTAATTCCACATGGTTTTCCATACATTACCAAAAAATAATAATAATAGTCATAAAGCACTTAACAGACGTTTTCCCATGTCACCAATCATGTTTTCTCAACTACACTTGGAAATAAAGGTTGCATATACATTTTCAAATGCGCAATTGTGAGTATTATGTACATCTACTTATTCTCTTTGATGCAAAATGCAGTTTATTATGATACATATTTTTGTAAAATATGTGTGCGTATACATATTTTACAAAAATATGTTACATGTGCATCTAAATAACATTTAGACATAAAACATTTTTTTTATCCAGTATAAATGAACATGCATATACATACATTTTTCGAAAATGCTGATCTTCTGCTAGCATGCTGTTCTTTTCTAGCTATAATGCGCAGAGATAACAGACATCATAGTTTAAATGTGAAATGAAAAGTACTTGGTCAGGATAGGTTATACTACCCTGAACAGTGTGCTGTACAGTTTTTGGTAGACAAGCATTTTCTCCCTCTGATAAGATTTTTAAAAATTATGTTTTAAACATTTTCTTCAACAAAACTCTTCATTTCGCCACCTTAGAATGGATTGATTGCATAAAAATATAATTTATTAAATTAGATTGCATAAATTCAGTTTATGAATGTAACATTGCATTTCGCTACAGTGACCTTGAAATAATAACCGTAATCCCCGAAACGTGTTTGTTTTCATAATCAGCTATAATCAGTGTTGGGGAAAGATACTTTTAAAAGTAGTGCATTACAATATCGCGTTACTCCATAAAAAAGTAACTAATTACGTTACTTAGTTACTTTTTATGGAAAGTAATGCATTGTGTTACTTTTGCGTTACTTTTTAAATCTGGGCAGGGCTTGCTTGCTTATTTGTTTTTAAAATAAAAAAGTTATATTTTTGGCAAATATAAAGCCTTTTCACACCAAAAGTGAAATGAATGCGCCTCAGGCTGAAGGGAAAGTACATTTACATCCAAAACACTTCAGCAATAAAAAAAGACACAAATGTTTGTCTAGAGTAATATTTGCTTATTAGTACGCCTGAACCGGATCATCGAAGCTCAGAAGCAATTATAATAATATTGGTTAATAGAATGGGATTAAATACATAAAGCATATTTGTGTTGTTTAACATTTAATTATTGCAGGCTTGCGTCATATTCTGAGTTGCATTATTTTTATTCATTTTGAGGAATACTGAATTGGTGGGTTTTTTTGTTGTTGTGAGTGATATTAATGCATATTCATATTTATTTTAGAACTACAGTAACATCTGATTTCTCTCAACAAGGGGACAGGAGAGCTATCAATCAATAAATTGGGGGGAAAAAGTAACTTGCGTTACTTATATTTGAAAAGGTAACTCGGATATTCTCTTGTAAATTAAAAAGTAATGCGTTACTTTACTAGTTACTTGAAAAAGTAATCTGATTACGTCACTCGCGTTACTTGTAATGCGGGCAGAGACGGGCGCGTGACGTCACAGTGTTTGGTCGCGTTTGCCAACGGTCTCTGAACTCTGAAGCGAGGAGTGCCAGCCTTCCCTTCTCACTTCGTCTAGCTATGGTCTGAAGAGGAAACCATGAATCTCCGAGGCGTTTTTCAAGATTTCAACCCTAGGTAAGACTTGTGTGTGTGACGTGAACGATGAAACCCGGCGCTTTGTTTTTAATTCGCTACCGTTCACTTTGTTAGCTTAGCTGCTAATGTTCACCGTGCGGGCCTTTTAGAGTCGTCTTAGCTTAGCTTCGCTGCTCAGTGAAGTTTTAAACCGTTTTAATGCTGAACCCGACTTGCGTTTAGCACTTTGGCGAAAGCGTTGACTTAAAACACGACACGCCAGTCTTCCTAAAGATTCTCGTTCGCGGACGTTCAAACCCTTGCGCAAATTAACCATGGTTTCGCTGCACTAACCATAGTTTAACCATGGTATTTGTAGTAAAACTGTGGTTATACAAATGGTAATCAATACGCCAAAAAAAACTATTACTACAATAAAACCGTGGTTAATTTTCGTAGTGGTGTCAAGCGATTAACTATCCAAAATAAAGGTTTTTGTTTACATAGTGTGTGTGTGTGTGTGTGTATGAGAGAGAGAGAGAGAGAGTGTGTGTGTATGTATGTATATATGTATGTATGTATGAGAGAGAGTGTGTGTGTATGTATGTATATATGTATGTATGAGAGAGAGATAGAGTGTGT